CCCCGAGTTATGAACATGCCCCAAAAAAATTTTGGCGGGCCCGCACGCAGGTACCACGCGGGTTTTAGCGCCCATTTTGGGGATTGGGGCCGGCACGTGCATGAAGATTAAGTTCCCGAAATTTCAGCCTCCCAGCTTTTACAGGTCTTGAGATGAAAGCGCGTGACAGACGCACACACAGACACACAGACGCACACACACGGACACATAGACAACCCCTCGTCAACACGCGTTTGTGCATTGCATAGCTGCAAAAAACGCATAAAAAGGGTGATGTAAGTCTGCATATATTCCAGAGTGAACACTGAAACAAATTGTGAGCCTACTTTATGCCGCCTGCTTTTAGGGATTTCTCAGCGCTATTATTATCAATATTGGCGGTAGGCACCGGCGACAATATACGATGTGCAAGGGTGGTGGCGTGATGTGCCGCGCTTGAAGCACTAGGCGCATCGCAATCACCGTCATCCGACGAGCTCAACGAACCATCACGTCTGCAACCCCAGCAATTTAAAAAATGAGCATAATTCTTTTATCTGATACACAGTTTCATCCACACATTCTGAATGTTAATAAAAAGCAGGATCGCCTCAATTTACTTCCCCAGCACTGAAGTTCGTTACAGTTGTATTTCTTTGGCCGTTCAGTCAGTTGCTCAGTTATTCCCAGTATTAGATGCTGTCAAAAAAATCAACGACTTAACACATTTCATTCTTGAAATAACTGAAGAAACAGAAAAGCAGCTCGACTAATAGCGCTTTGCCGACTGCATTTAGTTCAAAGGTTGTTTAGAAGCGTGTGAAGAAAGTTTCTAGCAGCTGCGTGAAACGATAATACCAAGAACTCGTCAGAGTAAACGGGAGTGGGCTTTCTATAACACAGATTCTACTGAAATACTCCCATACGACAAGCGCAGCTGAGCCGGACCTTTCAGACTTGAGTCACTTTTTCAGTCAGTATCAACTACTTGTTCGATTTTTATGCGTTTTTTGCAGCAATGCAATGCGAAAAACGCATATTGACGAGAGGTTGTCT